AAAAATTCGTTTTATTCCTTTTTACGTCGAAGTAAACGCGGGGAGATGAGTCAAACGAAAATAACAAAGAGAAAAGCAAGACAAAAAAAAAAAAAGGAAAAGGAAATAAAATTAAACGAACAAAGTTTTAATGAATAAACTTGCGAATGGAGGGAAGACGAAAAAAAAACGAAAACAATTGAAATCGACTCCATTTCAGAAGCGGAGAATTCACTCATAAGAAAAGCAAACGTATTAAACTTACGATGAAAATTCAAAATGGCGGATGAGAATTTCGACAATTTCGATGATCTTTATCGAGAAATAATAATTTTCAGTAAAACGAATAAAGTCGTGAATCGCATTTTAAAAAAACGAGTACAACATCGAGTCACGATGGTGGAAAATTTAAAAAAAAAATTCTGTCAGTTGATTTAATTAAAAAAAAAATAAAATAAAATAATAATGACAACAACAACAACAACAACAACAATAAAAACCCATGCTTGTATCGCATTCACACAATGAAATTTTTTTCGGTTGTTAGCGTAACAATCAGGATTTTGGTTAGTGTTTATTCCGACTTTTCGTCACATATGCAAATACACGTACACACGCGACACAACAAACGCTCTTTTGAAATTGTACTCTTTCGACAAACAACCAACGCGTTACGACGTTACAAACCCCGTGAGATCATCAAACAAACAAACATGGTTGTTTCCAACCTGAAATATATCGCAATTTAATTTAATACAAAAAAAAAAATTAATTCAAAAGTTTTGTTTGTTAGCCTTACAAACAACACAAGAAGTCTTTCATTACTTTTTCCCCCACTAATTCACGCTAGTTTATTTTTTTTTTTATTATGTAATTTTTCATTGAAAAATTTTTAATAATCGTTTGTTCTTTCTTTTTTTTTTTCGCGTGCGATTGTCGAGAAAGGAACTTTTCCTTCATTTTTTTTTTAAAAACGTTTATTTTGTTTCAAAACAAAACCAATCATCGCGTCGAAAATGTTTTTTGACAACAAAGTCGAAACGAATTAAAACCAAAATCTTCGCGCAAAAAAAAAATGCATGAAAAATAATATCTGGAGAAGAAAAATAAAATAATAACGACGACGAGTATTATAATTTATTGCAAAATATTAAAAGACATGGATTAGGCCAACCGTGAAGAAGGAAACGTGGAAAACAAGGACGTTGCGGCGGTTTTATGAAGATGCCAGAGTTTCCACAAAAAAGATAGTTCGGCGCAAAAAGAAAAGGTTTTATCTTTCTTAATACAACAACGTAAAAATTTGCAACAAACGGACGAAAGGTTTGTGCAAAGCATACGACAAAAATATACAAAAGACCATCTCATCACTTTCTAAAAACCTTTAGGGGGGAAAAAAAAGCAACGGAAATGGCCTGGAAATTTTTATCGTAAAAAAAAACTTTAATAAAAAGGAAAGTAAAATAGAAACAAATTAAATTCGGTGTCGAGGAGGGAGGGAGGGAGGGAAATTTTTTCCTTTTTAAACGAAAGTCACATAGGTTGAAAATATTTTGAAGGGGGGAGGGGATTCAGAATTTTTTTCTTTTTTTTTTTTTTTTTTTTTGGATCTTTTTTCTATCGATTTTGTCTAGGAGTGCAATAAAAGAGAAAATTTATTATTTAAAAAGACGTTTATACGATTTTTCCTGAGTTCCTCTCACATTGGAAGTTGGTAAAACCAACCATGTTTTTCCGAAAAGAAAACCGGGGGGGGGGAAATAAAAAGAGGGAAATTTTTTTTTTTTTTTTTTTACGGAAACAAAGAAAGCAAAAAAAACGTACAAAAAAAAAAATTTTTAATAACTCGTTGAAAACGTGAATTATTGTCTCGTTTACCTCCATTTCCTCCTCCTACCCCCACCCTCTACCTTTTTTAAAAATTTATACGCAATAATTATTAAATTAATTTTCCTTTTTCCTTTTCGAAACGCTTAAAAGCTTGAAAAATTCTAAAGGGAAAATGGAGAAAATACGATATTTTTACCCTGAACTCAACAATCTTTTCTTATTTTTTCCTGCATCGAATTATTATTTAACAATTTTGTTTTACTAAACGTTCAAAGTATTCATACTATTGATGATTAAAAACAAACAAACAAACAAACAAACAAACGAACAAACAAAAAAATTAACGAATGGGAAATGTTGTTGCCATAATCAAACGTTCACGGTTCTGCGGAAAACAAGAAACGAAATTAAAACTAAATATTATTTTCATTTTTTTTTCGATCGCTCATTATTTAATCGAAACGGGGGGGGCGGTAGTGGGAAATAATAATAATAATAATAATAATAATAATAACGATAAATCACGTTGATTTCTTCAAAGGTATTAATTATCGCTATCGGTTGGCAACAGGTAGTGAGTGTAAGAGAATACATATGAGACAACACGACTGTCACAATTTGACTATTGGAACTTGAAACTATCAAAGCGTAAAAAAATAAATAAATAAAATAAAAATTCTTTCTTATACGAACGGCCTTGCATAATGATAATAATAATAATAATAATAAATACGTAACGTTTGAAATCCGTCAGATAAAATCGCGTTCGAAAAAATAATGATAGTAATATTAATAAAAACCGGTAACAAATTCAAAATAAAAAAAAATAAAATAATTTTTGCTAAAGACAAAGAACACCCCCGACAAACAAAACAACGCTACGACAAAGATTATAAACTTTATTCACTTTTGCTACAAATCACAAAAAAAAAAAAGTTCCCAGAATTTCAAAATAATAAAAACGTATCCTTTTAAACCATAGCAAAATTTTCAATTTTTTTTATATTCCAATTCAATAATAAAATCTCACTAACGGGGAAAAAAAAAAAAAAAAAAAAAAAAGAAAAAGTTTTAATTCGCGAAATGAATGCCAGTTTGTTGCCCTTTTTTTTTTTTTTTTTTTTTTTTTTTTAAATCACGTTTAAAAAACGATAAAAACAACAACCTCAAGTTTATTCCGTTAATGTTTATAAAAAAAAAAAAAAAAAAAAAAAAAAACGATGACGATGAATACGATGACGACGACAACAACAACAACAAACAAACGATTTCATTTAAAACGTTTAAACCTAAATTTAAGTCACTTATTTTTTTTTTTCCTTGTTAATTTTTCCTTGTAAAAAAACAAATTACAATAAATGTCTTTTTCGACGATGACTAAATCGGTCAACACAAAATACGTAAAAAAAAAAAAAAAAAAAGAATTAAAACGCGGAAAACGAGAAGAGAAAACAAACAAACAAACAACAACAACAACAACAAAGATTCATTCGAGTTACACGAGTTCACGACTAAATAATAAAACGCGTGGCAGAATCAAAACAAACAAAAACGCGATTTGACTTCGCACGACGAGAATCGCGCTTAACCAGCTAATTCAGCGAAAATAAAAAAAAAAAAAAAATGGCGATAATCAAGGATAACAAAAAAAAAAAAAATTCACAAGAACAAATATTGATTTAATCACGTATCAATTGTTATGAAAACAAACACAAACAGAACACAAACTAGTGTGACTCGTACAAAAAAAAAAAAATCTACCGCATTTTTCCGCAGGGTATTTTTCGTTTAAAAAAAATTTTTTTTTTTTTTTCTCGCGTTTTTATTTTCCTTTTACCGTTTCCCCCTCCCTACCTCCCTCCCTCCTTCCTTTGATTCTTATTATTTCGCATTCCTTATAATTTTTTTCCTTTGACAGATTCATTCATTACCTTTCTCAATATCGAAAAAAAAAAACAAAAAATCGATAATTAATCCACCGCAATCGATTCGATTCGATTCGGATCGACGCCATTTTTTTTTCCTATCATTGTTTTCGATTTTAAAACAATAATAATAATAATAATAATATCAATTATTATTAGTATTATTACGTAACTAATTTAAACGAATTAACGCGCCGTTTGTTTTTCGAAACGAATTAGAAATTTTTTTTTTTTTTTTTTTTTCAATGGTTGCTCTCCGTTAAATTTTTTTATTTTTACATTCCGTGAATTACTATTAGTATTATTATTATTATTATTATCATTACTTTTTTTTAAATGCATTAAAGGTCACACGTTATTCACGCTCGTGTTAAGTAAAATTCAAACCGCGAAAGTGAACGCGTATTATTTTAATTTCATTTTTTTTTTTTTTTTTTTTCGGATGATGAACAATTTAATTACCAGAAAATATTCTCCTAATAACTCACACACTTCGAACGTTAAAAATAAAAAATTCGGTCGATTATTATTATTATTATGTAATTTTTTTCTTTTCGTTTTCTTAAATTTTTCACGCCATTTTTTGTGACGTAACTAAGAGTAACACCCACGCCTACGTACTCATCATCATTTATACTGCAAACGTACAAAACACACCAACAAAATATCCGATAAGAAAATTTTCACAACCCTTTCTCCTTTGACCTCCTCCCTCCCCCCAAAAAATTAAAAAGCCGACCGAACGATTGTAACCGGGGAGGGGGAGGGAGTTAAACTTTTTTTAAACGTAAAAAAAAAAAATTAAATACGATGAGTAAACAATAAAAAAAAAAAAAAACTTAACAATCATTTGTTATCGTTGTTAACGGCCTTTTTTGTTTTTGTTATTTTCAGTCATTTAAACACCATTTTACACACGCACATTCTCACTTTGTTTCATTTACTCTTTTACATTATTATCATTTACGTTCGTATATACCTTTAAGGTATTTTTAAAATACCTATTATTATTATCATGTAAACCTGAAAGAAAACGAAAAGCGACTCACCATCGGAAGAAGAAGTCATAACAGCTCCACTCTCACGCAATTCCTCCATTTTAGCCATTAACGGCGCCAATCTGAAATTAAAAATACATACAAATGTATACATAACCTTCTTTAATTTCTTATTAACTTACTAAGAAAAAAACACATTAATAATGATAATAAGTATAATACAATATAAGTATATACTCTTGCATATGATTTTGACAATTTTTGTTACCTCGATGGATTAATTGTTGATGCATATCTTCGTTGTATATCGATTCTTAATCGATCACCGACTCTTCGATATATTTCCATAAGAGTACTAAATGCTTGCTCTCGAACGTGAATATTTTGATCGGCTAACAATTTAACTAAATGAGGAGTTAATTTTGAAAGTGATATAGCGCTTGAACCGAACCTGCGAAAGAAATATAAAATTAAAATCGTCCAAATAACATATTATTATTTACGCTTATCCAAAATTAAATAAAAAGTTTATGTTTAACTTATTATTATTATTATTATTATTATTTTTCCTGTAAAAAATTTCCGCATTGAAAATAAAAAAAAAATTACCGTAATAATGACGTAACTCGTAATATATACACACATGCACAATTATAAATTTATAATTTTTTTTTTTTAATTTACTATATACACTGCATTGCATTTAACCGTTAGAAAAGACTTTTATTATTATTATTATTATTATTTTTATTCCTGACATTTATATGCGTTATTCACCCGTATAAGATTGTATCTGATAATAATTAAAGATATTTTTCATGTTTTAAACCGAAATAAAACTGTCGAGAGAGATTTTATTAAATAAATACATGCGTCGTGGTATTATTTTTTTTTTTTTAACGTGTAAGAAGAAACAAAGTTATTCTGCTGTTACCAAACGCAGACACGTTATTCAATTTCTTTCTCTCTCTCTTTCTTTAAATAATTAATATTAAAACTTATTACGCTAATTATAACAACTGACGTCACAAAAAAAAAAAAAAAAAAAAAGATTTTCTCGTTTGAAAATGAATACTTTTCGTACAAATTTTTTTAAATAAAATATAGAAATAATTTGTTAAAAAAAAAAAAAAAAATTAAATTACTATTTTACACGCACAAAATTATAATCTAACGTGTGCATATATACATTTGCGAATTATTTCCAAACTTAAAAATCATTTAATTCCTTTTTTTAACAATTTAAATGAGAAAAGTTTCGTACAAATAATCATGTCGTACGGAAAATTAAAATTTAAAGATACAAAACACACGTGATTATAAATATAAAAAAAAAAAAAAAAAAAGAAAACAAGTTTTAAAATTTTAAATTGCATGATAAAATGCAATGAATAAATTTCAAATCAAACGATTAACAAAAAACCTAAACGGTAAATAATTAAATGTAAAAATAATAATAATAATAATAAACTTATATTCGCGTTCAAATTTATTTATTTATTTATTCATTCCGTCATTCATTCATTCATTCATTTTTATTCACGTTTTAAGGAAACCGTGAATATAAAATATAATAATAATAATAATAATAATAATAATAATAATAATAACGAGTAACCATGGCAACGTTTTTTTTTCTTCTAAAATTATTGTAAATAAAACAAAATTCCAAATTTAAAAAAAAAAAAAAAAATTATTGATTAGGTTTATCATCAACAACTATTTTTTTTTAAAATTAATTACTTTTTAATTATTTTTTTTAAATTATTAAACTTATTTCCCATTTCCTTTTTCTATATATTAAAAAAAGAATTAATTCAATTTTATAACGATTACTATCGTTATTATTATTATTATCATTATTTTGTTTTTTGTGTTTTTTCCGTTTCCGCTCCGCAATTCCGATACCTACATGTTGATCGTGTTTACGAGGCAAATCATTATTTCTTCTCGGACTTTTGAATTTTTATGTGAAAATGAATATGTCACTCTGTCGAACAATTGCTGCGGCGTCAAAACTTCCTTTTCTAAAAAAACCATAAGCAAAGCTTGAGCTTTTTCTCTCACGCTTTCGTGACTATCACCTGAAACGAAATTTAATAAATATTATTATTATTATTATTATTATTATTATTATTCAATGAAACGAAAAGTGTTGGTGGCGGTGAATAAAAAATAGAAAAATTTTTATTTATTTTCGTTATTGTGAAAAATGTATACTTTTTCTTTTCTCAGACTCAACCACCCGCTCACCCGCCCATCCACCCACCCACTCACTCACTTTCCCCCCCCCCCCATACAAAAAAAAAAAAAACTGTCGCGTTTAAAAATCTTCTCCTCTTTTTTTAAAATCTTCACGCATTTTAGACATTTAAAATATAAGGACCCCCCTCACGCAAAGCATTGGCAATATGCCATCGAAAACAAAAGAAATTTCAATTTGTTATTGGTGTGCGTGCGTGTGCGTGTGTGCGTGTATTTATTTTCTCCAACGGACGAGACGCATTTTCAAATCTCATTTATGTGCAACAAATAATTTTTATATTTTTTTTCCCCGAACCGAATCCGTCAAAACAATCAAACAGTAACCATTTTTTTTTTTTATTTTTTATTTTATTTTTTATTTTATTTTTTTTTAACTGGAATCCGCAAACTGGAATGCGGTCGAAAAGAAACAAGAGAGAGAGAGAGAAAATTAATTTCGATTCTCAAAATTTTTTTTTCTCTTAATTTCTCCATCTATGAAAAAACTTTTTCTTAACTTTATTATAAAATTTCTTTTTTTTTCTTCTTCTTTTTCTTTGAAACGTTTAAATGTTGGGGAAGGGGAGGGGAGGGATGGGGATTCCGTCAATTTTCACACGACAATTTTTCAATGTTTTAAATTAATAATTATCAAATTATTATTTGTTATTTAGCCGCAATGGTGTTTTAGAAACTTTTTTTTTTTCCTCCATGTTTTCTGAGCAACGGTACATTTATATTTGTACCGAAAAATGTCGATAAAATTTTATTTTATTTTTCTTAGGATATTCTAAATTTCATAGAGCGAAACGTTTAGTCTGTCTGTCTCTCTCTCTCTCTCTCACTCTCCTCCCATTTTAATTTCGGTTCAAAAAATTTAAATTCAATTTAAAAAGGGGGGTCAAGCTTGATTGCCATTCGGTGATTCCGACGTTTTTTTTTTCGGAAAGGAAAAACAAAACAAAAAAACGCGTTTTAACGAAAAATTTGTAACGATTTTTTTTCGCGCGTGTGTGTGTGTGCGTGCGTGGGTGGGTGGATGGGTGATATACTTTCCATTTCACGCATCGCACTCAACGGATCTGCAAAAGAAATTCCACACCTCGGGTCAATGACAGAAAAAAAAAAAAGGTTTTTAAATATAAAAATCACATTTCAGACGTCGGCGAAAAGCAGAAGAAATTCTTCATGCGTACAAAACGAATACACGCGCACGCACACGTGATGACGGTATGAAAACGGTGACGATGATGATGATGATACACAAAAAATCACACACGATAGAAAAAGAGAATGAAAAAAAGAGAGAGAGAGAGAGAGAGACAGAAACTTCCAGAACTAAATAACTTAAATAGAATGAATCGGCGGCTTTTGTGAGTGTGTTCCATAACAATAATTATAATTTTAAATTTTCAAATGTTTTCGCGTCGTGAGTAACATTTAAAAAAAAAAAAGAAAGAATTTGTTACAATAGAATAAGAAGAAGAAGAAGAAGGAGAAGAAGAGACAACAAACAAACAAACGAAGTCAAAACAAAACAAAACAAAAAAGAAAAAAAAATCAATAACGTATATGGATTACGTTTCATTGTTTTGTCAAAAATTGCGACAAAATATAAAAATTGCACGTAATAAAGCAACACATGAAAAACAATTACACGAACCTGAACCTGAAATTACAAATTTGACATTATAAATTATAAATTTATTTATTTTTTCGCGATTTCGAAACCTGAAACGCAAGAATCCAAACCTTCTTCTTCTTCTTCTTCTTCATTTTAAAATCGTCGTTATAATTTTAAAAATTAATAATAATAATAATAATAAAATTTCAATTTATACAAACCTAATCGATCAACTATTGCTGGACAAACAGTTGGAACGTATGGCTTGAAATCATGTTTCATTCGATCTACGAGCGCCGTCATTATTTCCAGACCTTTTTGGGAAACCTGAAAATTAATAACAAAAAAAAAAAAAAATTAAAAATTAAAAAACTTGTAATTTATAATAAAAAAAAAAATTTACACTTTGAAAATAAAAAAAAAACTCGTTCGTTTTCCCCTACTTATATCCTTATATAATTTATTTTATTTAATTCCTGGAAAAAAAATTTTATTATTATTATCATCATCATTATCACCGTTATTATTTTATTACGAGGAAAACAAAAAAAATTATGGAATTATAGGGAGGGATCAGGATAAAAGGAACAAAGGCTTCGTTTTTATTTAAAAAAAATTTTTTTTTTCTTTTTTGTAAACAGGAACAATGTCGTAATAAAATGTATCTAAAAATAAATAAATAATCTAAAAATAATTTTCTTCTGCTTTTTTTTAACCAAAAAACCTGAATAATAAAAAAAAAAACAAACAACCGAACCTGAACAACGACATTAGTTCAGTGACTCAATTAAAAAAAATTTTCTTACCTGAGTTTTTTATCATTATCATTATCATTATCATTATCGTTATCATTATTATTATTATTATTTTCATTTTCTAATCATCATAAATTAATAAAATATTTAATAATAATAATAATGATAATAATAACAATAATAAACCATAAGCGTACGATTTGAAAATAAATTATATGAGTAAAATTTGAAAATTACACATTTGTCGTCATCTATTTAAGTTTTTTTTTTTTTATAAAAAAACCATTTCGCGAAAACGAAATCAATTATTTCCCACGTTCTTCTTAAAGTTTTTGATTCATATTTTTTTCGTACCTTATTTCTCGTGCCTTTCTAAGACTTTAATTTTTTTTTTTTTTTTTTTTTATTCGAAAGATTTAAATTAATTATATTATTGGTGATACCGTTTCTCTCATACGTGCCTGAATTCGGTTTAACAACTTTTCAAAAAAAAAAAAAAAAAAACAATCGAATTATAATTCGGACATTTTTTTTTCGCGGTTCATTTTCACTAAAACCTAAACCTAAACCTAAACCGAAATTTGATAATTCTTTTAACAAAAAAAAAACTTATCATTATGAATTGGCAAAATGTTGGATTACAAAAAAAAGAAAGAAAAAAAAAGAAAAAATTTACGCGTATCCAAGATGAAAACGTAAAAAAAAATCATCATCATTATTATTATTACTACTAATTTTTTCTTTTTTTTTTGTTTCCTTCTGCTTTTCTTCATTCGCATTAAACAATCGTTAACGACATTCGTCATAAATTAACCATCTACCCATTTAAATCCTTTTTTTTTTTTTTTTTCTTTATACTTCTGCCATTTTAATTTTGACCGTTTAAAACTATATCGATCATTTTATTATGCTTCGGCAAACACGTAAAAACCAAAGAGTGTAATAATAATAATAATAATAATAATAATAATATCAAATTCATTCGTTTTAAATGATTTTTTTTTATTAAATCTATGCAAGAATCGAGAATTTTCTATTCGACGATAAACACGCATTCGTAGATATCGATATTTAAATATGACGCTATCATCAAATGATCGCACGTAAACAATAAAATAAAATAAAATGAAATTTTCGAAGGGAAAATCATTAAAAAAAAAAAAAAAGAAAAAATTAATTGACAAAATCTCGGTGAGATTAAATAAAAAATAATAATAATAATAATAATAATTTCGCAAGAGAATGGTTAAATAAAAAAAAACAAATTTGATTGCGTCCGTTCGTGGCAAGCAATTCATTTCGAAGCAAAGGATATATATATTAATAAAAACGAATTTCAACGCAGCGTAAAATAAAATAAGACAAAAAAATCCCACAAAAATTTATGCCAATTAATGTAGGTTTTCACGTCAATGCCAAGTAAATGTACTTAAAAAAAAATTAAAAAAGAAATTAATCAAAATTTTAAAAAAGAGCTAAAGCGAAGAAAGAAAAATTGTTCTATATTAAATTAATTTTTTTGCTTTTTTTTAAAGTGGTTAGATTCGAGTATCGATTGATATAACGATACGTCCACCATTTAAAATGCCAAAATTTATTCATTTATTTATTTTTTTTTAACTAAAAAACATTTAGAGACATGACGTTTCACAAAACCGTAGGAATAATAATAAAAATCATCAATTATCATCATTATCGTTAAAGAAAAACGTTCAACTTTTTTTTTTTTTTTTTTTTTTTTTACAACTGCAATTCCTGAATGAATTCGAATCGAGAGAAGGAGAAGGAGAAGAAGAAGAAGAAGAAGAAGAAGAAGAAGAAGAAGAAGAAAGAACAATTTCTACATTGCCAACAACTTTTTTTTTTCTTCTTCTTATTTTTTTTTCGGTTTATCGATTCAAGGATAATTTCGCGTAATCTCAGCCAAAATTCATGAAATCTCTATTTATTTTTACGTACGGTAAAAACCGAGAGAGAGAGAGAGAGAAACGAGAAAAACAAAAAAAAACTTTCCCAATAAATTTCGATAGGTTTTTATTCAATTTTGACATCCATTTAAACTCCACAACAACCTCGACTTCCATAAAAAAAAAAAAAAAAATTTACATTTACACGATGAATTCAAAGAATTCAATAAACGTCGTGCCAACAAAAGAAAAAAAAAAAAAAGCAAAAATATTGGTGATGATGATAATAATAATAGTAGTAGTAGTCGAGTTTTCCGGCGAGTCGACTTTTAAACGTTTCAAACTTAAATTACTCGCGTAATAAACGACGAAAATGAAAAATCTAATATGCCTCCCCAAATGTGAATTTAATACAAAAGGTAAATAATTACATCGGGTATTTATTTATTTAAAGAGAGAGAGAGAGAGAGAGAGAGACCTCAGCGGGGGAGGAATCATTGGTGCTCGGTTCTAATCAACAGGAACGAATGACTGATTTCCCGCAGGATCACCGTGTGATCAATTTAAAAACAATTTCTCCGGCGTTTTATCGCGGAAAGGAAATAATTTGTGTACTTGTTACTACTGTTTTCTCATTCAACGAACGAAGGATATTTATTTTGCATACATATAAGTCCATAAACGAACAAAATGACACACGCACCAAGTGTGTACGCACGCACGCACGCACTCCACTCACTTTTTGTCGTCTTGTGCATTTATTTAAACAGACTTTCAGACTGAATAGTAGAAGAAGAAGAAAAAAAAATGCATTTCCTTTCTCCATCGAATGTAAATAACATATTTATCGTTTACGAGCTAAAGAAATTACTACTACCACTACCACCACCACAAATAATAATAATAATAATAAAACACGTATAAATACATATATATGCATATTCGTTGTAGTCGCAGTTGAAATAAAATTTCTCGAGTTACATTTTTTTTTTTTTTTGCAGAAATCCATTATTCAATTATATCTATCTCTGCATTTTAACCGAATTAAAATTATCGCCTCGCTTACATTCAGTCAATTACCATTATTATTATTATTATTATTGTTTGTTTGTTTCTAATTGATTTTGGCTGGTTGCAAATAGTACGAAGACCTTTTCATTCAATCATCGTTGACAGACGCGAGACAACAACGACAAATTGGCAAATAAATAACTTTTACCGACGTGCAAAAAAAAACAAAAATAAAAAAAAATCGAAAATTTGTAACAAGAAAAAAAAAAGAAACCAGAAAAGTGACGTCACGAAGTTAAATTAATGTTACTCGTATCTAAAATTATTTCGTTTGAATCACATCATGTGTTTGCTTGTTTTTTCTTTGTTTTCCGAACGGAAAAAATGACGCACAGGAGCAACAGCAGCAACACGCGAATCAAAAAAATCGTAAATTTTTTTTTTGAAAAAAAAAAAAAAAAGCCTAAAAAGTAAATATAAATAATGTCAAATAATAATCTTTGAAATGAGGATAAACCGATTTAAAAAAAAAAAAAAAAAAAAAACATGGAGGATTCTGTGGTAACAAACTACCCTTGTTACCCACCACACGTGCAATCGGTACCGATATGAAAAAATTATTATTATTATTATTAATCACATTTAATAAAAAAGTTTTTTGTGCCCTTTTCATTTTCGTTCGTGACAATAACCGAAAAAATTGATTTTTTTTTTTCCTTTCTTTCTTTCCTTCGATTTGTCCTCACCGTTTCACTCTTCGGGAAGAAAACTTTCCGTTATTTTTTACATTTTACTTTTTCCATCTCCATCTTTAATTTTTTTCTTCTTTTCTTCTTCTTTTACGGGCCGTTCATGCCAAACAAATAACGTTAACAAATAATTTCCTATCGATATCGACGAATCAATCTCATTACAAAAAATCATATTAATAATAATAATAATAATAACACTCGATTTTTTTGTTTCGAGCAAATCCGACACAAAAAAAATTAACAAAATAAATAATAATAATAATAATACTATTATTATTATTATTATTATTATTTAGGCCAACGTAATCAAATTTAAAGTTCTCATGGCCGAATCTCTGATGTGTGAATCGCTTTGATCGAAAACTTTAAGATGCGATTCCATCTTTAATCTTCTAAGGCAAACAATGGCGTGGTGGTGGTGGTGGTGGGGTTAAATAGTACAATAGTCTAAACTATTATAAACAAATACAATTGGAAAAAAAAAAAAAAAAAAAAAAAAAATTTTTCAAATAGGCGGAGATTTTATATTTTCCGTCAACGTTTTTTTGTCGTTTGTTTTCTTTTTGTTTTGTTTTTCTTAACTGATATGATATTATACGTATCGAAACCAAAATTCTATGACAAATCGACTCGTGATTTTTTTTTTTTTTTTCCTCGACACTGAAACATTATTATTATTATTATTTTGTTTTTAAAGGTCGATGTTATTTGATAAAAAATCAAATTAACCGATTGCGAGTGAAATGATAAAAAAATTTTCGTTATTATCGAGTATCCAAAATAAAAAAAATAAAAAAAAAATTTTAACTAAACCCGTTAATAACAAAATGACGTAGAAGATTAAGAAGAGAATATAAAATAAAACTCTAAACTAATTGTTACATCTTAAACAATTTTAATGT